ATGCATCTCGACCGCGTCATGTTCTTGACAGTTGATGACACGACCATCACGCTCATCCCAAGGTTCCGAGTGACACGTGAAGATGAGAACACGTGGACGCTGCACATCCGCCAGGTCACGCCGGCGGATACGGGTTATTACGTGTGCCAGGTCAATATGGAGCCGACAATTAACCAGGTCGGATACGTACAGGTTGTCGGTAAGTGCTAGGGGTGTTGTGTGCTTGTGGGGGTGTGGGGGTGTGGGGGTGTTTGTGTGTGTGTTTGTGTGTGTCTGTGTGTGTGTGTATGTGTGTGTATGTGTGTGTGTGTGTGTGTGTGTTTTTGTGTGTGTGTGTGTTTGTGTGTGTGTGTGTGTGTGTGTGTATGTGTGTGTGTGAGGTGGGGAGGGGGAGTGGGTTTAGGGGGGAGGGTGATGGGGTAAATTAGCTAAGTATTCTTAGCATAACGGTAGGGGGTGGGGAGGGGTCAAACTAGGTCAGGATGGGTAAAATCTTTCGGTATTTGAGTAAATAAGGTAAATTCAATACTTCGAGTGATGGGAGGTATTGAGGTAAACTGGATTGCTTCGGGTAAAACTGGCACGGGTGATGGTAGGTGTTTAGGCAAATTGGGTAAGGTAAATTAGATGGGTAAAATTAGTGCTTTGAGTGATGAAGGATATTTGGGTGAAATGGGTTAGATTTAGGAAAATTAGTAAATTAGATGTATTTAGGTAAATTTAGGTAAAACGAGTATATTGAGAGATACAAGAGATATTTGTGTAGATTGGATAATAGGATACATTTGGGTAAATTAGCTAGGGTTGGTAAAATGAGAGGGAGGCTGAGTGAAGCGAGAAATTTGGGAGAAATTTTCCTATTTGAATAAAAGTGATGATAACGATGATAACTATGATGCAAAGAATAATATCAATAATGATGATAATCCCAATCATACCTACACACTCAGTAATAATGATTAAAAGAAAAAAAAACGGATTCAGCAAATATAACAATAAAAAGACAATGATAATCTATTGACAATAACAATAATGCAAATGAAATTCGTCTGGATCTATAAGCCCTGAGTTGCATGACGTAGACCTCATAGCCAGCTTTATCTTTTATATTTTTGTAACTTTAAGCAGTCATTGACTCGACTGAAGAAGTGAGCTTGTTAATTTTTTTTTTTTTTTTTATTATATTATTTTTTTCTTTTTTCATCCTATGTTCTCTTTACCTCTCTCTCTCTCTCTCTCTCTCTCTCTCTCTCTCTCTCTCTCTCTCTCTCTCTCTCTCTCTCTCTCTCTCTCTCTCTCTCTCTCTCTTTCGATCTTACTCTTTCTTCCTTTTCTACCCCAACCACTCTTTCTCTTTCTCTCTTTTCTTCCTCTCTTTCTTTCTTCCTTTCTCCTCCCTTACCCCAAAACCTACTCTCCTACTCCTTCCTCTCCTTCCTACCCACCCTTTCTTACCCACTTCCTACCCACCCTTACCCATTTCTTACCCACTTCCTACCCACCCATCCCTACCTACCCTAACCCACTTCCTACCCATCCCTACCTTACCCACCCTTACCCACTTCCTACCCACCCATCCCTACCTACCTACCTTACCCCCCCATCCCTACCTTACCCACCCACCCTTACCCACTTCCTACCCATCCCTACCTACCTACCTTACCCACCCACCCTTACCCACTTCCTACCCACCCATCCCTACCTACCCACCCCTCCATACCTACCCACCCTTCCTTACCCACTTCCTACCCACCCTTCCTTACCCACTTCCTACCCATCCCTACCTACCCCCCCATCCCTACCTTACCCACCCACCCTTACCCACTTCCTACCCACCCACCATCCCTACCTACCCCACCCCCAACTCCACTCTCCTTTTTACCTTTCCAGTCCCTCCGGAATTCATTGACGAGGAAAGCAGTCCATCCCACGTAGCGGTACAGGAAGGGAATGACGTCCGACTAGTGTGCAGAGCCAAGGGTGTTCCGAAGCCGAGTATCCACTGGACTCGAGAAGACGGGAAGACATTCACCACCGTGCGAGGAAGTCAAGGTAAGGCCCAGGGAGTGTGAGGATAAAATGGGGGGGGGTTGGTGAGGAGGGGGAGGGGGGGAGGGGGAGGAGGAGGGGTGGAGGAGGAGAAGGAGGAAGAAGAAAAGTGGAGGAGGAGAAGGAGGAGGAAGAGGGGTGGAGGAGGAGGAGGAAGAGGGGTGGAGGAGGAGGAGGAGGAGTGGTAGAGAGTAGGAGGAGGAGGGGTAGAGAGGAGGAGGAGGAAGAGGAGGAAGAGGAGGGGTGGAGAGGAGGAGGAAGAGGAGTGTTGAAGGAGGAGGAGGAAGAGGGGTGGAGGAGGAGAATGAGGAAGAAGAGGAGGAGGAGGAAGAGGGATGGAGAGGAGGAGGAGGAGGAAGAGGGGTGGAGGAGGAGAAGGAGGAAGAGGAGGAGGAGGAAGAGGGATGAAGAGGAGGAGGAGGAGGAAGAGGGGTGGAGGAGGAGAAGGAGGAAGAGGAGGAGGAGGAAGAGGGATGGAGAGGAGGAGGAGGAGGAAGAAGGGTGGAGGAGGAGAAGGAGGAGGAGGAGGATTTTAAGGAAGGGATATAGAGTGATCAGAGCAGGGAGATAAGGTTGATGAGAGAAGGAAGAGATAATAGAAGTGATGAAATAGAGATTGTGAGGATAAATGCTAAAGTGAAGGCGAGGAGGAGGAATTTAAGGAAGGGATTAGGTCAGTAAAGTGAGAGAAGGGATGACACTGATAATGAGAGAAGGAAGAGAGGATAAAGATAATGGAATAGGGATTATGAAGATAAATAGTGAGAAGGAGAGGAGGAGGAGGAGGAGGATTTTAAGGAAGAATAGGAGTGGTAGGATAAGAGGGATGATAATGATAATAACAGAGGAATAAAGAGGACGAGAGAAGGGAGAGATGATAATGATAACGAGATAGTTATCATGAGGATAAGTGATAAGGAAGAGAGGAGGAGGAGGAGGAGGAGGAGGAGGATTTTAAGGAAGGGATAAAGGTGGTAAGATGAGAGAGATGATATTGATAATAAGAGAGGATAATAAGAAGAAGAGACAATCATGATGATGAGAGAAGGGAGAGAGAATAATGATAACGAAATAGGGAACTTGAGGATAAATGAGGAGGTAGAGAGGAAGGTGATGATAAGGAAGGGATAATGATGATAAAAAGGATAATAATGATAATAAAGAGAGGGATAATGATGATAAGGATAATAAGAGAAGGGAGATAGGGATCATGAGGATAAATAATGATAAGGATGAGGATGATAGAAAAGGGAAGAAGAGAGAGATGATGATGATGAGTAGAAGGGACCGTGAGGATAAACAGGAAGAGGAAGAGGAAGAGGAGGATAAGGAAGGAATGATGATAAATGGTAAGGTAGAGAGGGAGATGATGATAAGAAAGAGTGACGAAGGGATAAGAAGAAAGGGATAAGGTAATGAGAAGATTTGATAATAAAGGCGAGAAAATAGAGATCGCGAGGATAAATAATAAGATATAATTGATAAAGAGGTCAAGGAAGAGATAGTAAAAGAATATGAATGATAAGAAGAACGGATAACAAGAATAATAAGCAAAGAAAAAAGATAATAATAATAAGGGTTAAAAATGATAACAAGAAAGAGATAAAAACAAACAATAAGACCGAATAATAATGATAATAAGGAAGAGATGATAATGACAATCAGAAAGGAATTACGTAGAAAATAATACAAAGATAATTATGATAATACAACGTGGATATTGGTGGTAATACGAGACAGGACGGTGTGTTGTGATTGCGGTTCATTGATATCGTGTTTATAAGTAATTTTAGGACAAGTGAATCGTGTTTTTAAGTAGTTTTAGGGTAAGCGAATCGTTGTTTTCGTGTTTATAAGTAATTTTAGGGTAAGCGAATTGTTGTTCTCGCGTTTATAAGTAATTTTAGGGTAAGCGAATTGTTGTTATCGTGTTTATAAGTAATTTTAGGGTAAGCGAATCGTTGTTTTCGTGTTTATAAGTAATTTTAGGGTAAGCGAATTGTTGTTATCGCGTTTATAAGTAATTTTAGGGTAAGCGAATCGTTGTTTTCGTGTTTATAAGTAATTTTAGGGTAAGCGAATTGTTGTTCTCGCGTTTATAAGTAATTTTAGGGTAAGCGAATTGTTGTTATCGTGTTTATAAGTAATTTTAGGGTAAGCGAATCGTTGTTTTCGTGTTTATAAGTAATTTTAGGGTAAGCGAATTGTTGTTCTCGCGTTTATAAGTAATTTTAGGGTAAGCGAATTGTTGTTATCGTGTTTATAAGTAATTTTAGGGTAAGCGAATTGTTGTTTTCGTGTTTATAAGTAATTTTAGGGTAAGCGAATTGTTGTTATCGCGTTTATAAGTAATTTTAGGGTAAGCGAATCGTTGTTTTCGTGTTTATAAGTAATTTTAGGGTAAGCGAATTGTTGTTCTCGCGTTTATAAGTAATTTTAGGGTAAGCGAATTGTTGTTATCGTGTTTATAAGTAATTTTAGGGTAAGCGAATCGTTGTTTTCGTGTTTATAAGTAATTTTAGGATAAGCGAATTGTTGTTATCGCGTTTATAAGTAATTTTAGGGTAAGCGAATCGTTGTTTTCGTGTTTATAAGTAATTTTAGGGTAAGCGAATTGTTGTTCTCGCGTTTATAAGTAATTTTAGGGTAAGCGAATCGTTGTGCGCGTTTATAAGTAATATTAGGGTAAGCGAATCGTGTTTTTAAGTAGTTTTAGGGTAAGCGAATTGTTAATATCGTGTTTGTAAGCAATTTTAGGGTAAGCGAATCGTGTTTTTAAGTAGTTTTAATGTAAGCGAATTGTTGATGTGTTTATAAGTAATTTGAGGATAAGCGAGTCGTGTTTTGAAGTAGTTTTAAGGTAAGCGAATTTTTTATATCGTGTTTATAAGTAATTTTAGGGTAAGCGAATCGACTTTTTAAGTAGTTTTAGGGTAAGCGAATCGTTGTTT